GCATGCACCCTACAAGACAAGTTTGAAGACAGGGTCTCGGAAAGGGTGAGAAGAAAAACGTGTTTTTCACGAGACGCAACTTCTCGCTTCTCAGTTAAACACTTGGTGCTCGATGACCGAAGTAACGGCTGATAACAGTTACAGATCATCTGAAATAATCCTTTAAAGGCATTTTAGCAGAATTTCAACCAGTCCAACACTTTAGGAAAGCAGAGCTGCTGTTAAATCTTTTGTTCTGACAGAAAAGATGAAAACCCTCTCAGGGTTAAATCTCCTGGAAAGCAGCTGAGGTTTTTTTTTTGTTTTGTTTAAATCATGGAACCTCGTTCAGTTCAGCTGGGATGAACTGACTGAACTCCAGGAGGGGGGGGGGGGGTTGTCCATGTGCTTTAGTTCGATCCATGTGTTTGGATTGCTGCAGTGTCCTGGATTGGCCCCCTTCGTATCAGATGGCCAACTGGGAGGTAAAGTATGAGCAGGAGCTCGACACAAGAAAAGAAAAACAAGATTCAAAGCAGGAAATTAACAGAAGCTTGTTTTTAGACTTGTAGCCGTTTGTCAGTTTTTAAAATATAGCGAGTGGTTTCCCTCAGAGTACGTCATGTGAATGACTCTCAGCTACTACCACCAAGCTTCAGCTCCGTTTCTGTAAATCTGTCTGTCAGAGCCGGTGGTGGGCACAGATCAGCTGATCCACTAACAGCAGAACTCATTTTGGACCTTTTTTTTAATCGAGTTAGCATTTTTGCTAACTTTGTCAGCTAACAAAATGCACAAGCTTGTTCAAGTCTGCTGTGGGCGTGTCTCGACGTGTCCCTTAGACACGATATTGGCTTTTTAGTTCATCAGTATGTACACATGTACATATGACGAGACGTTTCTCCAAGTAGAACTTGAATCATTGCAGAACAAGATGAAAGTAGTTTATGCTAAAAGAATAAACAGTAGTCCCTCAATACTTTGCGGATTCAATCTTTCACGGTTTTTCAACGGAAGATTGTACAAAAAAAACCAAAATGGCTGAGCGCAGCTCACTCAGGCACAAGACAGACCCCCACGCCCCCTCCATTCTATTTCCGAGGCTGTTTGTCACAGCAGAGAAAGAGAAAGGAGGGGGCGGGGCCTGTCTTTCCCCATCGTGTCCCATATACACACAACAGGCGCACAACCGGGGCTCGATTTGAGCTGGTTCCTGCAGGAAGATCTGAGAACTTTTTCATTTTGACCGGATGCGTTCCGGCAACTGGTTGCTCAGATCCAGCAACTCAAATTTCCGCCCTTAAAAGTCCAAAACCATCACACATTTTTGATTATTTATTAAAAATACAAGAGACGTTGCCCTTGGCCCAGCAGACCAGTCTGTGGAGTGGATGTTCCAGCCGCAGCACATGCTACTGCCCAGCAGAGGCACGGCTGGCCCGCCCACTATTTGTGTTCTGACATTGATCAGTTTACAAATGATGCCCTGTACACAACAGCCTTGGAAAAAGAAAGGAGGGGGGCCCATCATGTCCCAGAGATGCACAACAGGCACGCAACAGACAGCCTTGGAAAAAGAAAGGGGACGAGGTCTGTTTTATACATGAGTGAGCTGCACAAGTGGCACGAATAGTTTTATTTAAAATACTCAAGCGTGACCCGAACCCAGCCTTTAGGAACGAGAACGCTGGATACGATCAGACAACCTGCCAGGGAGGCAGAGAGCGGGGAGCGCTTCAGAAGTGCACAGGTGCAGCAGGTAGGAGATTGGGAGTGACACAGGTGATGAGTGTGATTGCAGCAAAGTGGGCGTGGCAGAGTGGCGATCATGACACGCTGTGATCTTTTAGAGTTTAGAATATTAAGAACATTGCAAGAGTGTGAGAAGAGTTTATAAAGCCTTTATATATATATATATACACACAAAAATAAATTAACGTCCCTACTTTGCGGATTTTCACCTATTGCGGGGGTGTCTGGAACGTAACTCCAGCGATAATCGAGGGACTATTGTAAAAGTTCAGATGAAAAAAGAAAGATAAAGATTTCAGAGATCTCGGTGCATTTCTGAAAAAAAATAAAATAAAAATAAAAACATGAAAGCATGTTACAAAAACTTTATGGGGAGTGGTGGTGCAGAGGTTAAAGATGGGCCTATGATAGGAAGGAAGGCCACCAGTCCAACTCCCTGGACCGACATCAAAATGCGAGTGGTAAAGGTGAAACACCCACACCTGTCTCCACTCTCATTTGCCCCTCTGGGCCCTTGAGCAAGGCTCTGAACCCCCCACCATCTGCTCCCCCGGGTGCCCAAGATGGCAGCTCTCTGCTCCACACAGAGCGCTGTGGTTGCGTCGTGGTGACCCCTGAAGGAGCAGCCGAAAGAAAAATAAATAATAAAAGTTACAAAAACTGAAAGTGGCAGCCTGACCTGAACCAGCTGAAGGTCGGCTGAAGTACTCGTAGTCCAAAACCCATTACAGCAACAAACAGAAAAATCATTTCAATTAGTGAGAATAAATCTGGACTGGATTTTCAGCAGTAAAGCAAATATGTTTATTAAGCACTTTAATATACATCAGAAAATTCTGCTTCGTATAATACAGAAAGTACTTGAACTGAACGGTAAATGTACACAGGAAGCTATTTACAATCCGATCACTGACAGACGAACAGCATCGAGACAAACGAACCGTTTAAAGACGTTACAGAACGAGTCCAGCACTGATCCTGGATCAGTCCTGCCTTCAGTCCTTCGTGACGACCGAGGCGTCTCCAGAAGTTCCTCCTCCACAAACCGTTCTGAAGTGAACAGATGTTCGAGCTCCCTCGGCTCCTCCTCCCCGCGAGGAGCAGTCTGCTGCTTCAACTTTGGCTTTACAAAATAAAATAATAAAAAATACAGAATCACTAACAGATAGTTGTCTTGATGGCTGAACCCCTTTTTGTGTCGCGCCCCTGAAAAATCCAGCAGAAGAAACGTAAACAAACAAACAAACAAACAATGTTTGGGGTTTTTGCTGCTTCTCGCTAAAATCAGAAAAAACAACCAAAAAGCAAAACGGCTGCGTGTTAGCACCAAACTTCTGCTGATGGCGGCGACTTGAACACCGCTGGACGTTTGCACACAGAAACGTCACGGTACAAAAAGTGAGAAGTCCCACGGGGACGAAATGAACTTTTGCTTTTACGTCACCGATCAAATCTTCATCCTCGGATGTTTGAGAAAATAAACCGAACGCGGTTAAAAAAATAAAAGCATCGTTTGAACACAGCACCGTGAGAGAACGCAAAAAGGAAAAACACAAAAGTGGCTTTTTACCCCCCCAAAAAAATAAATACGCTTTTTATACACCTGTGAACTGCCACATCCGTTAACGACGAACACACACTGATCCCAGATTAACACTTATCCCAGATTAACACAGATTATTTGGGGTTTCTAGAAAGGCAGACTCTTTTTCTTGACATCAGTTCCTGTTGGATCCTCTGATTTGGGACAACGTGTTCATCGCTGTCGGTGAAAACTGAACGTGATGACAAATAATCTGAAAAGGTTGTGACGCGTCAAATATCAACAAAACGCAACGATTTGCACATTTTATAATCCCTTAATTTATTCACAGGTCAACGTACCAAATGTTGGAATTAAGAAATTGTAAAGATAATTTTGAACTTGATGGCAGCGACGCGTCTCTAAACATCTAACGAGGTCGAGTCGGGTCTTCTGGACGGATTCTGTGGAAACGTCTCGTCTTTTATCCAAAGTCTCTATAAATAAATGTTCCAGGGGAAACAAAAGGTTCTAAAAGTAGAACAAATAAAGAACTGTAGGAACATTTGTCCACTAATTAGATTAATTAGTAACAGGTCTGGGTACAATGAGAGCATTTTAGAAGATGGGCAGAGGATCATCTGTGTGAGAAAAGTCTAAAATAGTTAAATAAGTTCAGAATAAAGTTCCTAATGAAAAACTGAACAAGTCTCTGAGCTCAGGTCAGTTCTGGACGTGATCTCCGGGTCCTCAGGGGCCCCTGCATTAAAACCAGGTCTGGTTCTGATCTGGGCTCAGGAACTCTTCTACAGATCTTTGTGAACACAGTTCATCCACAGCTGCAGCTTAAAGCTCTATCAGACAAAGGAGCCAGATGTGAACACCATCCAGAACCGCGGTCGTCTTCTCTGGACCAGAGCTCGTTTCAAATGGACTGAGGTGAGTCCAGAACTGTTCTGTGGTTAGACGGATCAGATCTAGAGTTTTGTTTGGAAACCACAAACACCACGTCCTCCATACTAAAGAGCAGAGGAACCATCCAGCCTGTTATCAGCTCACGGTTCAAAAGTCTGCCTCTCTGATGGTATGGGGGTGCATTAGTGCCTCTGGCATGGGCAGCTTACACATCTGAAAGCCTTCATCAGTGCAGGTTCAGGACTGTTGAACAGCTAGAACCCACCATAAGACCAGAACGGGACCACATTCCATCCAAAACCTCCAGGAACTGGACTCCTCGAGTCCTAAAGGTCCTCAGACTGCTGGATGTGACGCTGCCATAACGTTAAAATCTACCATTTCTTAGTTTTAACATTTGATACGAGTATGTTCACTGTGGATAAGATGTGGAGCCTCGAGGACAAATCATTGCATTTTTAAAAATATATATTTTTAAACTTCACAACATTTCCAGAAGTGCAGTTGTTAAAGTACTGATATGTTTGGAACAGAAGATAAAACATGGATGAATGTTACTCTTTTTAAAAGTGCAGTTACACGGTTTATTAAATAGCATTACATTAAATTAAAATGATACTCAAGGAAAACAAAGAAGGCTGTAACATGTAGGCACAAATGATTGGGTCCCGTTTGCCTCCCACAGCGAAAACACAGCGTTCATTGTTCTGCAGATGAAAACCGTTGCTTTGGCACGTCATCTCCAACGTCTGCAGGACGAACTGTGTCCCAGACCTCTGAAACAGTAAAGGAGTGATTTGGGTTCTGATCCAGAACGAGGCTTTCTTCATGCAGATCTGAGAAGAACCAACGAAGGTTCTGCAAACTTGATGGTTAAAGGTTGTTTTGAGTGTCGGCATCGGCTGCTGTGAATAAACCGAGGTTCATGGTCACTCTGTCTTCGGTACATCCTTTGAGTACTGGTTATAATGGGGTCTCCTTTTTGTAGTTGAAACCTGGGTCGGATCCTTCGATCTGCAGTTTCAGGGCTTGTTTAATGCTTAGTTCTGTTTCTCCAATGGGATAGTTTTCCAGCACGTCCTGGTGGCCCCGGTTCTGAGCAGCTCGAGGAACCGATACCCTCCCCAGGATCACCTGATTCACCTGTAGGTGATAGTTGGGGTTGGTCACGATACCGTTCCGTTTCTTGTCGGCGCAGCTCTGCTGCTGGATGAAGAACTGGTCCTGGCCTCGTTCCTGCTGAACTGGACCACCGATCATGATCTTACAGTGCGGATCCTTCACGGCGATGTTAGCCACAGATTTATTGAAGGCCATTCTCTTGTCGAGCTGAGTCATCTCGTACTCCAGAACCTGACCTTGGCTTGATCCGCTGCTTTTAATTTTCTTTTTGTCTCCCAGAGTGTTTTTGCCGTTAGATGTCCCGTTTGGTATTTTGGTTCCCTTTGCTGACTTCAGACCCAGTTTCAGCTGAGACCAGTCGAAGTCGTTTGATGGAGATGATGGCTGCTGATTGACGGACTTGGTCGTGGAAGAAGGGGACACGATGGACTGTCTGCTTCGGCTGCGGGGCAGTGAGTGCTGCTGAATTTGTTCTGTGAAAGTCATCCCATGAAAGCTGTCGATCGGCACAGTCTGAGCTGTGGCGGTAGATGACGTGGTTCTTAAGGAGGAGTTTTTTGAACTCTTAAGGGAATTATTTGACTGGGAGGACTTCTGCCTGTCCACAGTGGAATCGGGGGACTCCGACGGTGAACTGAACGCATGGACTGGTCCAATAGGAAGACCACGTCCAGAAGACTGCACATCTCCTGCCCCCGTGCTGCCAGAACTACTCGATTTGATGGTAAGTGACTGCATCTTTCCTGTGACTGCTAATGGTGTTTTATCCTCCATGGTATGCACAGGGGAAGGGTTACATCCATTTAGAGTTGTGGCTCCATATTTGTCCAGAAGTTTTAGGATCATGGAATGACCACCTTTGGCTGCCACTCTCATGGCTGTGCGTCCAAACTGATCGGCGTGGTTGGGGTCAGCCCCGTTTTCTAGAAGTATTTGCACGACATCGATGTGACCCTCCTGGGCGGCTATGCCTAGAGCCGTCGCTCCCTGGTTGCATGTATGATCCACATGGGCGCCGTTCTCTATCAAGAACTGCACAACTTTAGTATGGCCTTGCCAGGCTGCAGATTGGAGAGCAGAGCGCTTCTCGTTGTCACAGGCGTTCACGTCAGCGTGATAGTTAATCAGCAGCCTCGCCATTTCAACATGTCCTTGCCAGCAAGATACGTGGAGGGCTGTTCTGCCCTCAGTGTCACAAGCTTCCACATTTGCACCGTTTTCAAGGAAATACTCGGTCATGGCTAGTTGATTTTCAAGAGCCAATATGTAGAGTGTTGGGCGTCCATCTGCATCTTTGTGATCTATATCAGCACCGTGGCTCAACAGCAGTTCAACGATGTCCCTGTGACCCTCTAGTGCAGCTACCCTGAGAGCATTCCTACCATCATATCCTCTCTGGTCAATGCAGGATTTGTTTTCCAGAAGAATTTGCACACAGTCATAATGTCCCTCTTGTGCAGCTAATATCAGCGGGATTCTACCATCATTATCTACTTCGGAGCAGCGAGCACCTTGTTCAATAAGAGCATCGCAAACCTGGCGATGGCCTTCAAATGCAGCCATGTGCAGCGGGGTCCAGCCTGCATCGTCCCTGTGATTTTCATCCAGACCTCTGTCCAGCAGAGTTCTGACCACCTCCACGTTGCCCTGAGCAGACGCAATGCTCAGCACAGTCCGTCCCTCACTGTCGATGCTATCAACTGCCGCTCCCCAGAAGAGTAACGTGTTCACCACAGATGCGTGGCCCATTGATGCAGCTGCCAGAAGAGGGGTGCGCCCATTGTTGTCTGTGTGATCCACGTCGGCGCCACCTTCCAGAAGTAGATCAACTACATCCACATGTCCTTCATAGCCAGCCACAAGAAGAGGAGTCATGCAGTCTTTGTCACAGTGGTCAACCTCTGCTCCTCGATCTATGAGAAGGCTTACAACCGATGCGTGACCTTTACTAGCAGGGATACACAGTGCAGCCACTGAAAGGGCAGTCCTCCCATCGACATCTTCATGATTGACTTCAGCTCCATGGTCAAGTAAGTGCTCGACGATTTCTCTATGCCCCATGTATGCTGCTGCAATGAGAGCGGTTCTTCCTTCATTGTCTGCTTTGTTGACTTCAGCTCCGTGCTGAAGAAGGTTTAGTACTATGTCTTCATGGCCTCCCCAAGCAGCAGCTCTTAAAGCGGTCCTCCCATCAGCATCGGCACAGTCCACTTTGGCTCCAGCATAAAGCAGGGCGGACACAACTTCTGAATGTCCACCCCAAGCTGCTGAGCGGAGAGCTGTCCATCCGTCGTGGTCCGTGTGGTTTATGTCAGCTTCACAGCCGATGAGGCAGTTCACCACTTTGGTGTGGCCCTGCCTTGCAGCGAGAGTTAGTGCTGTTTGTCCATGGTTGTCTTCTAGCTCCATGTTCGCACCTCTTGATATGAGCAAATTAACCACGTCCAGGTTTCCGCTGTATGCAGCGTTGGCCAGCAGAGTCCTTCCACTGGAGTCAGACTGGTTCACAGATGCTCCGTTGTCGAGCAACGTTCGTATCGAGTCCTCTCGCTCTAGTGCCTGTTGTACAATACACGAAGCGTGGTCGTCTTCGTTGTTAACGTGAGCCCCAGCTTTGACCAGGAGTTGCAGAACCTCCTGTTCTCTTGGTATGGACGTGCTCAGAGAGTCTTTAGTGGGTGTTCCATTCCAGACCATCCAAAGAGCAAGATTAAACGGCTCGATCTGCAGGTTTGAGTTGACGAGGTGAAGCGCGAACTCCTGCACTTCGAGAGGTTTCAGCTGCTTTGCTCTGCAAGTGTAACTCATGGCCAACATCCGATGTCCTTCTGCTGCGTTGCACAAGTACTTCTGGGTGCAATGCTTAACATCCAGCAGCCATTCTGCAAAACTGTAGTGAAAAAGGATTTTAGTGCTTCCAAGACCATCAACCAACAGCTTGGCCAGAATGTCCATCTTTTTCTGAAATTCCTCCATAGTTAGAGTCATGTTCTTGGTCCAGACGGCGTGGTACAGTTCCTTGACTGTGAGTGGCCTGCAAGTTGCCAGGATCACATTGAGAATTGGCTGAACTTTGGCAAACTGTTTTCTCACAAAGAGCCTCTGGCAGAGCCACAGGTACAGGCCGTTGAGGGTCCCTGGGATGTCCCGGATCTCACGGAGCATGATGAAATTCTCCACCACGCCGTCCAGCACTCGCTCCAGGTAGAGAAAACAGCCGCTGCTTTTAATGTGAAGCTGGTTCAGCATCTCGGCGGTCTCCTTGGTCAGGTGCTGCCTCAGGGCCTCCTCCTGATCCAGCCGGTGAAGGATGTACTGCTGCACATCCTTGACGATGTAGGCCTTCCGAAGATCGTCTAGGCTGATTTTGCGAAATCCTGAAACAAAAGAAGAGTTCATCAGATTAGTCTGGTTTGAAAAGGACAAACCAGAACGATGACTTAACAAGAAGTAACAATGAGTGACAATAAATTATGAAGAACCTTCCCTAATGCTGACCAGGGCAACATTGCATTTATATTCAGTTCTTTTCAACTGGTTGCGTACTTTTCGATAATTAAGTGAAGGAAACATTTAATTTCCCTGGGTATGAAATAATTAACAGTGCAGGCATGTTATTAAAGCAAAAAAAAAAATGGAGAAGAATTGAAAACAAACCCCTCTGGGTGCTGGAAGCAGAAACACTCAGCAGGTGTTTATCAGCTTTGCCCATAAAAATAAACTAGATTAGTGCTTAACTCAGATGTTTCAGAAGTAATTTCTGCTTTTAATACTTCCTTCTAAAATAATTTAAATACTCAATTCATTAAAACGCAATTTACAACAGCAGAAATATATTAAATACATTTTAAAAGAAAAACAGAGGCAGAACAAATAAGGAGGAGAAGGTTATAACTGTGCTGAGAAGCTGAAGGCTTCTTTTCTATGAGTTTAACATCAGTGGCTCATCTAAAGTCTCACCCCGAGTTTTTTAAAACCTACTGTAAAAATCTACTCATCCCACAGAGTCTTAATGAGATTCCCCTCCAGTACATGAGGAAACGGCCTCACGACGGTCTCAGTCTGTTCCGCCTGCAGCGGGAGAGCAAAGGGTGCATCTCTGCACTTTATTTATGGTTCTCATGGTTTTTGCGGATACTGGTCCAGGAAAAAGGATGTCATGGGGAGAGGGGAGGGGTGTCACTGCATTGTTGACATACTGATTTACTTCCAGTTACACAAAGACCTGCTACTCTGGGAGATGAGTTTGTTTTATAAAAAAAAAAAACAGAATTTATTGAAAACATCTTGATCTGATTTAAACTAATTATGATGTAAAAATTAGACAAGTTAGACGTCTGAAGATGCTGTAAAGGTTTGGGAAACGTGATTATTTTATTGTAATGAAATCAGGTCTGTGGTTGAGTGAGGCTGAAACGTGCACATGCAGACCAGGTAGGTCAAAGTTCACCTGGAGTCTGAACGAGCGACGCAGTTTGAACAGATCCTGGTCAACAGGAGGAGAAGGAGGAGGAGGAGGAGGAGGAGGAGGAGGAGGACCAGGCTCCTGGGTTTGTTTAATTCAATTCAGTTTATTTATCTAGCTCCAAGTCACAACAGAAGTCGCCTCAGGGCACTGAACAGAAACATTCACATATATAAAAAAACAAGTTAATAATATTTATCTGAATCCAAACCAAAAAAGGATTAGTTATTTATCTGAGGAGCAGCTTTGAGTTTAACTCCATCACAGAACTCTCATCTTGAGCAAACATGAAGGCGACAGTGGAAAGAAAAAACTCCTTCATGAGGAAGAAACTTTTAGCAGAAACAGGCTCAGGACAAGCGACCATCTTCTTCGACCGGCTGGGTTTGGTAGGAACAGATACACAATAGCAGGTCAAGAATCACATGTTACGATAGAAACAGTATCAAATGAAAACTGTTCAATTTTAACAATTAATTTAAGGAAATAAGGTCAATTTGTCCTCTAGTAGTCTAAGCTTAAGGCATCATAACAAGCCAACCCTAACTACTTCCTCAGGCGGCTGAGACGAGCAGGTCTGGAAGCTCAGTCCTCACCTCCTTCTACAGGTGTGCAGTGGAGAGCATCCTGTGCTCCAGCATCAACGTGTGGCATGGAGGCTGCACAGCTGCAGAAAGAAAAGCTTTGCAGAGAGTGGTGAAGGCTGCACAGAAGATGTTGGAGTCAGCCTCCCCACCATCACAGACATCTACACCTCCAGATGCAGGAAGAGGGCCACCTGCATCATGAAGGACCCCACCCACCCAGCACACACACTTTTTGCCCCACTCCCCTCAGGAAGGAGGTTGAGGAGCATTAAGTGTAGAACCACTAGACTGAGGAACAGCTTCTACCCTGAGGCTGTTAGACTCATGAATCTCTAACCAGAATAATCACATCATGTTGCTGCTGATCTGTTTCATGTTGCTGCTGATCTGTTTCATGTTGATGTGTTCGTGCGTGCTCATCTGCTCACAGACTCATGTTCATGTTTGTGCTGATGTTCAATGTTTTATGTTATGAGTGCTTAGTGTATATTTAGTTGATGTTTTTCTTAGTTCATATCTTAGATGTTATTACAGTTTTTCTTATACATTTTATTGTTGGTGGGACCCTGTGAACATAATTTCGCTCCACCACATGTACCACATGAGGTGCGAATGACAATAAAGAATCTCCGACACTAACTATAGGATTTATCAAAAAGGAAAGTCTTAAAACTGAACAATGTGTCAGCCTCACTGACAGAAACTGGAAGTTGGTTCCACAAGAGAGGAGCCTGAGAACTGAAAGATCTTCCTCCCATTCTGCTTTTGGAAACTCTAGGAACCACAAGTTGTGAAGATATATATTTTTTGTAATACCACAATCCATCCTCATGGCCTTTTACATTTTTCTAACTAAAAAGCATTCTGATAAAGAATAAGAGGCCGCACTTTCGTAGCAGCAGCAACGTGCACTCCACTCATCTTTCGGACGACTGTACGAACATAATCTCACTGTATCCCGGTACAATGATAATAAATCTTATTTTAATTCTGATTCAAGTAAACCTGCAGTCTGAGAGCGAAGTGCTCTCTTAGGAAAATATGGAACAATACGATCTGTAATATAAGATGGAGCTAGGTTGTTGAGAGCTTTGTAGGTTAGAAGTAAGATTTTGAATTCTATTCTGGATTTGACAGGGAGCCAATGGAGAGAAGCTAAAACTGGAGAGACATGATCTCTCCCAGTAACTCCAGTTAAGACTCTGGCAGCAGCATTTTGGATCAACTGAAGACATTTTAAAGAAGTATTTGGACACCCAGATAATAAACCATTGCAATAGTCCAGTCTAGACGTGACAAATGCATGAACCAGTTTTTTCTGCATCATCTTTAGATCAGCTGTTTCTAATGTTAGTGATATTACGCAGGTGGAAGAAGGAGGTTCTAGTAATGTTTTTAATGTGGGGGATAAAAGACATGTCCTGATCAAAAATAACACCAAGATTTTTAGCATTAGAGCTGGAGGACAGATTAATGCATCTAAGGAGAGAGAAAGACTGAAAAATTAATTCCTAAGATGCTCAGGTCCAAAATCCAAAACCTCAGTTTTGTCTGAGTTTTAAAGCAGAAAATTAAGGGTCATCCAGGTTTTTATGTCTTTAAGACATGCTTGTAAGCTGATTGGATTCACTGGGTTTCATGGACAAATATAACTGTGTGTCATCAGCATAACAATGAAAATGTATCCCAGGTTATTTAATAACTTTATCTAAAGGAGGCATATAAAGGAAAGAGTATTGATCCAAGCACTGAACCCTGAGGAACTCCATGATTAACTTTATAAGAACATTCATTACTGACATTATTTAAGATAAGCAAACTCTCTCCAACAGCTGCATACAATAATCTTATAACTTTATTCTTGAGGTGTTGATGAGTCGAAAATGTACTTTCAAAGCATTTTTAAACCAAACCAGATACGGATGTATTTATAATTCTGGTCACTTTAGCTTTTGTTGGACTTGGCTGGAGGCAACAAGTAATTATGGTGGGGTTTAAATGAACTGAAACATTTCTGAAGGTTCCTGATTGAACGAGAGGTCAGAAGAGGTCAAACTGTGAGATGTCTCAGTCTGAACAGTGAGCGAGCTGCTCACATTCATGCTCCGGCAGCTACCTGGAGGTTTGACGACATTCTTCACTGAGGCACAGAAAAATGGTTCATTAACACCAAACTGTCTCCGGTTCAGAGTCCGGTCCGCCTGCAGCGTGAAAACAAAGGCAGAGTTTCTGCATACCGTACTTTTATTTACTGTTCTCAGGGTTCTCAGGGTTACTGGGACAGAGAGGCCGGGTTGTTATTTCAGCACGTCGTCACAGAACACGAGACAAATCTAAACATTTTTATCATAAAAAAACAGCTACAAGAGCACGTCGTTAAAAACAAATGTCAGTGAGAGGCTATAAATGTGTTTCTACAGAAAGCCTTGTTGATCGTTTTATAAATATTAGTCCTGAAACATTTTGTCTGTTTGTGTATCATGAGGTTAAATATTTCAGCTTCAAGTTCATCATTCTGGACCAGAACCAAGTTACAGAATAAAACTTTTGAAAAATTAACAAATCAAGTTTTAATATATACATGTTCCTGTTTTTAGTTTTCTACATACGCCTTATAAACTAGCTGTTTTTGCTACTTTTTTTTGCCATCTTATTTTAATTAAATATATATATATATTTAAATTAAAAATAAATAAATAAATAAAGCCGTATGCCTCTTATATAATTGTCCATTGTTTTTCTTCTTTCTTTGTTGAAATCAGGTCTTTCTTGTAAATGAGTCCTCGAGGCTCAATGGGATTAACCTTTCTAAATAAA